TGGATCTGTTGTGACTTCACCTTTTTCATTCTTAATTGCATGTATTTGTGCCTTTTCTTTCCTTTTTTTGGTAAGGTTGGCTAACGGTTTATCGTTATTTATTCTTTCAAAAAACCAACTCTTTGATTCATTGATTTTTTTGTATTGTTCTCTTAGTCTCCATTGCATTGATTTCTGCCCTGAGTTTTGTAATTTCCTCCTTGTATGAGCTTTGGATTCGTTAAGGCATAACTATTTTAAAAGAAATGATTCTTATATTGTAGTTTATTTGTTCAGGCTCTGAGGTATCAAGTGAGCCCTTGGTGGGATGATATCAGGGTGTAGAGCTGGAGTTTTTATTCATGATCATAAAGCCCCATAATCCATACAACAGTTCCTGAAAATAAGCACTCAAATTTTGATACTGTGATAACTTTCAGAGAAGGAAAACTTAGAGATCCACTGATAATTTTGTAGAACAAGAAACTCCAGTATTCTCAAATGACCTCATGACTGAATTTGTAAGATTTTTATCACAAAGGTTTTATTTCAGTGAGAATCAGTGCTTTCCCTTCATAATGGCGATGACCACATATTTTGAGAGTTTACCATCGCTGTAAAATCCCACAGATAGTAAATGGCAGCTAGTTCCAACTTGGTAGTCTGCAGAGGCTTATGGGTTACAACTGTATGATGTCACTCATGACATTATGTGATGTCTTAGTGATGTATAGAGGTCAGTGCCTATTGCCACTCCTGGTTTTTTTTTTATTGAATTAGTTTGGAGAAAAAGAATCTTTTTCTTCATGGCTGAGTAGAAATTGACACTTTCACAAAGTACGTACTAGTGAATGTCTTTCATAAAGTCTGACCCCTTCCCTGCCATCAGCAGTAGAATAATGTGTTTGGTCATAATTGTGTGAATTCACTACTATTAAAAAATGAACTTTAACTGGTTTTCCTGAAAAAATGCTGTGGCATGCCCATTACAACTGATCATATTTAACTAAAGTCGTATCACTCAATATTATCATTTTGATGATATTTGGAATATCATTTTATACTCAAAACATACTTGTAAATGTTGATTTTATCACAGTAGTATTTCCTACCTGGAACCTAACATTTAGAGGATTTTTGGATTGTTTTTAAAAATAAAGCTACATTTATTTATCAAATGGTTTGTTTTTTTGTGATATTTCCAACAAAATGTAAATGTATTTTATATATATTTCTTTCTTATTTTAGGTTCTTCAAGGAAAAATCTCTTCACACCTTTTAATGCAGGTGAGTGACCACTTTAAATATAGATGGAGAAAAAGGAATCTTTCTTTTGTAATGTCATATTACCATTAAAATATTTAGATTTATTTATAGTGACTTTTCATTGGTATGCTTGCAAGTAGATATCAGGTTTGAGATATGAATGACTGCTTATGACATGTACTGGCATAGCATTAATCAGGAGCTTAGATTTTTCTGTTCTCTTTTCTTTTGGACATACATCTTTTTTCTAAGACAATATGACGCTTCAACTGTTTGAACCACAAATGAGAATTAAAATCTTTTGCCACTTGAGAAGCCATACAGTTCACATAATGTATTCATTACAAATCCTATGTTATATGTAATTGATCATATTCCTTGGATACTACCTACATTCTCTTATTTTATGTGCACTTAGAAAATAGTTCTGTGAACTCTAAATCCCTTAAATATTAAACAGTAAGTCAGAAGAGAGAAAGGTATGATTGGCTCATATTGATGTTCTGTGACCCTGTTAGACATCAAGGATGTAGTTGTGAGACCAAAATGAGCAAAGGCCTTGACTTTGGGGAACTTACAGGACAAAGAACTGCACAAAAGAGCAGGAGTCAAAATCTCAATGATTTCTAGAGAAGCAAGGCTCAGTGATTTCTGTGCTCCTGGGGGAGGTCTTGAATGAAGGATGTGACCTAGGGAGGGAAAACTGAGCAGGAGTACAAGCTTATGAGTGTCTTGTATAAAGAAAATAGAGTGGTACCCTTCATTCAGGGAATAACTAGTATCTTTGCCCTACCAGATGTATTCATTTTCCTCAGCTTAGAAGGGCAAAGAGGTGTGAAGGAATTATATGAAACTTGTTAATCTTTTTTAAGTTCTTAAAGCTAGAGAAAACTCCACCATGCAGAATGATTTAAATTCTAAACATCCCCAATACCCTGAGTTTGAATATATATGATTATTCAAATGAAGTTTGAAAAACAGAAGTTGTTCTGTGTAGATTTTGGTTTTTGTATTCTTTTGTTTCACATTTCTAGCACAGACTAATATTTAGGAGGAAAAATAGGTAGCTAATATTCTGTACAAAAACTTTTTGTTGGAAAGCCAGTTACTCACTATCAGAAAGCTGGATCATATGGTAACTCTATGTGTAACAGTTGGAGAAACTTCCCGACTGTTTTCCAAAGAACCTATACCATTTTCTGTATCACCAGCAGTGTGTAAGGGTCCAATTTCTCCACATTCTTGCTAACACTTGCTTTTGTTTATCTTTTTGCTTATTGCCAGCCTACTGATTATGAATCTGATTACGGTTTTGTTTGCATTTCCTTCCATGCTAGTGATGTTGAGCATTTTTTCATGTGTTTATTGGCTATTTTAATATCTTCTTTGAAAAAGTGTCTATTCAAATCGTTTGCCCATTTTAAAAAATTGGATTACTTATAATGTTGAATTGTAAGAGTTCTTTATCTATTCCAGATATTAGACCCTTATCAGAGATAGGTTTTGTGGATATTTTCTGAAGTTTTAAAAAAACTTTCTTGCTAGTATCCTCTGAAGCATAAATGTTGTTAATTTTGGTCAGATCTAGTTCTTTTTTTCTCTTTAGTTTCTTATTCTTTTGGTGAAATATCTCAAAAAACATTGTCTAATCCAAGGCTGTGAAGACTTATGCCTCTACTAAGACTTGTACAGTTTTAACTCTGAAAGTAATATTTGATGAATTTCAAGTTAATTTTTATATGGTGTGGAGTAGGGGGTCTAGAATCATTCTTTTCCATATGGACATCCAGTTGTTATAAAAACATTTTCCCTATTTGAAATGTCTTGGCACCTTGGTAAATAATTGACTGTAAGCATGAGGAGTTATTTCTGTGTCCTAAATTATATTCTACTGATCTGTATGTCTATCTTTGCCAACTACATACCGTCATGATTATTTGATGTAGTAAGTTTTGAAATCATGAAATGTGAGTCATCGAAATTTGTTTTTTCAAGATTCTTTTGGTTCTTCTGGGTCCCTTGAATTCTCATGAATTTTAGGATCAGCTTGTCAATTTCTGTAAAGAAATCAGCTGTAAGTTTGATAGGAGTTGTATTGAATCTGTATATAGATCTATGGACTTTTGCCATCTTAACATTGTTAAGTATTCCATGCCTTAAGTATAGGATTTCTTCACATTTAGTTAGATCTTTAATTTCTTTCAACTTTTCAAAATAAGTTCTGAACACGTCTTTATTAAGGCTTGTTTTCTTGTAGTGACTCTTCTGTACTTTGGCAGTTGTCATTGATTCTAGTAACAGTAAAATGGCTGCTTAAATAAATCTGTTATATCTATTTTAATCTATACTAAATATAAAACTTTGAAAGATAATCAAAATTCATGTCGAAATCTGTGATCATGTCAACTATGACAGGCATAACAAATATTAATCCTCAATATATCACCTTTCTCTACTGCAGAGAAAAGCTGTAGCATTAGACAGTTTCCCTTGTTAGATTGTTGCACTGACATTTTTCCTTATTTCAGTGAATCTTGACAGGTAAGATTCATCAAATGGTAGATTAACTCCGAATTAAGTGAGAAAAGAAATGGAAAGTACTAATCATGACATGGATTTAACAAAACCTTTGACCATGATGTAGAAATAGGGTATATGACATAGTTCTAGAATTTCTGTCTCCAATTAGTCACTAACTTTTTAACATAATTTTAATTAGTGCGCTAATTTTTGCAACAGAAAAGAACATATTTTAAGGAGTCTCCAGTATAGATTAATTTAGATTCTGTGTTAAGGCCCTATATTTTCCTAAAAATCATAAGCATGGCTCTTCCAGGTTCTTTGACTTGGTGGTTGGTTATCATCATGGTTTAAGACTGAATGGTATCATGATGAGCCTAATGAGAAAAATAGCACTTTAAGGTGGCTTTTGGAGGAACAACTTTGATGCTAAGAATGATGTCCAAGTAGCCAGTGACTTTGGGTGCATCTCCAAGCCATCAATTTCTGTGTAATTGGAAATGTTCTAAGTTTTTCCTTCACTATGATAGTCTATAACTGAGTCACCTTGACTTTCTTTATAGTCTGCTGGCAAACAGGCATATTTTAGATGGCAAAAAATATATTGCTTCTATGGACAAACATTTTCCTTTGAGCATTCAATTTGAAATCATTTTACTATAGCATTGAGATCATTTAATTTTTTAAAGAGCAAACAGTGGTGAAGGTTATAGTTGGCCAACTTAATATCCTTTAATTTTAGTAGCATTTTACCAAATTGCAGAAAGTTCAGCACATAGAGGTTTTGAAATCACACTTTAGGGCCTTTTTGTTTCTTGTTTTTGGCAGTGGTGGTGGCTTTTGCAAGAGTGGGGATTGAACCTAGGATCTTTCCATTGAGCTACATTCCCTGCTTTTTATTTCGAGACAGAGTCTTGCTCAGTCACTAAGTTGCCCAAGTGAGACTCAAACTTGGGATCATTCTGCCTCATCTTCCCTTTAGTTTTTTAAATTTATAACTTTAAATAAAATTCAGATATCTGTATATATCTTTATCATTTAACATATAGTGATCACTTTTCATAATGGTTGTATCTATCACATGCAGTAACATTTAACCACACGTCTTGAATATTTGGTATATTTCTGTTTTATATTCATGAGTGATTCTATGATCAGCATATTTATAATTAGCATTTTCAAAGTTTGGGGAAGTTGTTTTTAACTGTATATCCTTTTATTGGTACATTTTGGGTATACAGTATAATGACATTCATAATTGGAAATTTGCACCTTTACATAATCTCCCTTGGTTCTTATTTTTTCCCCCTTCCCCTGGCCCCCTCTTCAACCCCTTCATCCCTTCTCATTTACAAAGACTTTGTTTCCTTTTATTCATTTTTTCATATTAATTCCATTCCCCTCCTTCCTCACTCCTACCCCTCCCATTCCCCTTTGCCCCTTTTCTTCCTATTTCACAGTATCTGTTACACCTTTTCGTCCTTCTTTACACTTTCAATTTCTCACACTAGAGAAACTATTTGGTATTTACACATGTGTGTCCTATTTATTTCACTTAAGAGTATTGCCTCAGTGTGCATCCATTTAGCTATAAATGTAATTTCTCATTTTTTATGGCTGAGTAGTACTCCATTTTATAAAAAACACACACATTTTCCTCATCCAATCTCCAATTGATGGGCATTTGGGTTGTTTCCAAGTTTTAGCTGTTACAAACTGTGCTGCTATGAACATGGGTGCACATATATCACTATGGTATGATTCTTTTAATTCAGGGAAATAGCTGGGTCAAATGGGACTTCCTGTCCTAGTACTTTGAGGTGTTTCCATACTGATTTCCACAGTGGTTGCACCAGTCTACAGTCCCACCAGCAGTGGAGAAGGGTTCCTCTTTCCCCACAGCCCTGCCAGCATTTGTTATTTGTTGATTTCTTGATAGCAGCCATTCTTTCTGGGGTGAGGTAGAATCTCAGCATTGTTTTCATTTGCATCTCTCGAATGACCAGTGATGTTGAATATTTTTTCATATGTTTATTTGCTGTTTCTACTTCTTTGTCTGAGAAATGTCTGTTCATTTCAGATGCCCATTTTTGGATTGGGTCTTTAAATTTGGGAGGTCTGATTT